GAACCAACACTCTGGTTTTTGCTTTTGCCACCATCTCTGACTAGAGGCCCCTCCAATGACTCCAATGCAGCAGAGTACACTGGGTCAGCAGCAGTAGTCAGGTCCTGTCCTTCACTCAGAGCAGATAAGTGTGAGTGCATGTGGAGTGGGGAAAGCAGGACAGTGGGGTGATCTGAAGCAAGAATTGAGCAAGACTGAGTGCCGACATACGGAGCCAGTCACATGTAGCAAATGACCCTGCTAAGCAGCCTGTCCAATGCAGGCCAAGAACGTATGCTTGGTAAAAGCTGGAGACATGCTCAGAGCCAAAATCCTTGGTTAGTTTCCAAGGATTTTAAAGGAATATTTTAAAAGAGATCCTTTTAAAATATTTATTTTTGCCAAGCGGTCATGATGGCTGTTCTCTTATATGATTACCAAGACTAGGTTAAGGCATTGAAGCAAAGTCCCTTTTTAAGATAAAGTTTCTCCAGTGATTTGAAACACAAGAAAAGCAAGACTAGATACAACAGAAATTCAGGGTAATAGTTTAGGCTACTTATAATCTGTATAAAATCCATATCTAAGAAACTTGCCCTAGTACTACCTTTATTATCCCAATCAACAGGTATGTTAAAATTGCCCAGAATAAACTTTACCACAAATTCAGATTAAAAAAAAAAAAAAAACCACTCAATTTCATAGTTTTCATACCACTTTTTTTTTTATTTAAAATATTATAACCAATGAACATACTAGGTAACATTGTTTACATTCCAGTGGTGCATGTTTAATGACTAGGGCATGAATGATTAAAAACCACAATAATTATCTCAGCATTCCCTACAAAGTGCCCCATTTTGTTTTGTCTAGAGAGGAGAGGGAACGGAACACAGGGGGAAGGAATGAAGAAGGAATGGCATCATACAGGGAAGAAAGCAAATGTCAATTATCATACTTAGGTTTTCAGGCTTTAAAACCTGTTGAACAGGATAAATTGTAATGAGAAAATAGATGTCACAGTCCAGGTAGACAGCTAGTTCAATTTAAATTTATCATTCGGCTAAAAGATTAAGAGCTTCTCAAAAATATACCAAATATCGGGCCTATAAAAGTAATTTATTTCTTCGTAAAATTTACTAAGATTTATTCCTTTTGTAAAATGTAAAGAATGGACTGGTATCACGAGCAGGTTTCTAATTACAAACAGACAGTAATAATGTCCAACAAACACATCTAACACAATTTGCCAAGATATACAGTGAAAGGTTTTACATGTGAGTCTCTCTTACTGATGCAAGGTATGCAGTTTACATACTTACTGGTATTGTGTCAACATTGGCTATAAAGTATTTCACACACATTTATAATCACACTCAGTAGAGATCTAACAGCAAGGGCAACAGCTTGGGAAAGCATAGAAAATTAGTGTGAGGTAGTTCGATACAAGCCGAGTTTAATTTGTTAAGTTACTGTGAGAATAAAACATTGTGCAAAACTAATCCACAGGTACTGTTTCCTAAAAGTTTCAGTAACGAAGAGAATCTAAACCAGAAATGGCCCAGAAACTGTTACTCTTACTAGACTCTCCTTAAGAGCACTTAACTAAGAGCAGTTTGAAATTATTTAGGACTTGTTTTCCCTATGAGTTTTCTAATCATACCCCAAACTACACGTTTCTGCTTCAATGCCCTTTACCTCTTCATCTTTCTTGCTATTAAGGAAAAATTAGTTTCCGCTGATTGAGAAAAAACCTAAGAGAGATCAGTAGAAACACAATCTATACTAAAATGTAAAGGATAGAGAGTCAACACTTAAGAGGGCTGCTAATGACAGAATGGTGGTGTTTGGTTTTTCTACCGGTAAGAGAAGTTTACTGGGGTCATGGGGCTTCATGCAGTCACTCTACAGCTAATGTGTGACTAATGAACAAACACTCACAAACAAACTACAACAGTATTTTTGAAAACAGACTATGCTTTACCTCAAAATGTGCAGGCTTGTGCCTAGGCAACACTGAGTAGTTATGTCTTCATATGTGTAGCACATACTGGCCAATAGTGTAAACCAAGTCTTATTTGTAACACCAGAACAGCTTCACTTGCCTACAGCTGATTTTACTATCAGACATTGATGTCTCTTCACCTCCATCTTTTTAGACACCACAGCAGGATTAGCATGGAACAGAATAACAAAGGCTTACAGGAAAGTTTGCCGCTTTACATACAATCAAGGTTCTCTGTATTGTTAAAGGAGTTGTGTGGTAGCTTCATACAAGAAGCTGGCATTTCTCTAGGAGTCTGGTGTGAATACACTGTGCCTTTACCAACTTGGAAGAATACATACCAGGAATAACCAGCAGCCGAGGATATGGGACCAAATGAGAACTGTTCAGCAAACAATATGAAAGAGTTGAGATGCAATCCCAACACCACAATCATTTTACAAATGGTCAATATACATTAGAGGGTAACAGAATAATAACCAGGATAAAATACATAGAAAGAATCAGAATTAGTGTCTCTTTCCTAACCTATAAACTTGAATAATAGATCTTGGTCAAAATAATTTTCTGACAGTAAGACGATGGGTATGTTAAGTGTCTAATGTTGAAAAACCAAAGTTTTTAAGATAAGCAAGGTGGTTTTACATTAAGTACTGCCTGACAGAAATCTTATTTGTAATTCCTCTTAAACACAAATGTTTAAGATATTTTAAAGGGTCAAGAAGTTTCTAAGAAAACAAACATGTACATCTTTAGCTTAACAAATTTAAGAGACAAAGCTGTATTTAGATATTGCAGTTTAAAAACCTAGGGCACACAACATTTAACAGATTCTGTTTTCAGGATAGAATTTAAGTATTTTTATCTACATTAATGAATGAGAGTTCATTTTCTCTGAATCAACTGAAACATGCTGGTTGGCAAGTAGGAGCTGGCATTTACTACAAATGATACAGAAAGAACCTGGTTTTCCTTGCTTAATCAAAATCTGTATCAATAGAGCTGGCTTACTAGCAATCAAACATAAAATATGGGAAGCTTCTGAAAGCATGTCAGTTATTAAAGTGCAAGAGCGAAATGATCTATCCTAGAAAAGAGTTAACTGTAAAACATAAACTAATAACACACTCATGCTCAGATTCCTCTGTAAATCCAATCCTGTTTCTACAAATCAAGGTGTTACAGTCTCAAAACTCTAATTTACGTAATGAATTAATACACCATGTTGTATGAGTAGAAAAGGGACTGATAAAAAGTTTGACAACTGCACAAGACTGGAAATCATGACTTTTAAACCATCAAAATCAAACTTGCTATTTCAAAGCATATAAAAAGGCTAATGTATTTTAATCCTAAATATTGCACATTAACAATGATCTAACATACCTTACTTGAAAGGAATTTTGCACTAAATACACAAATAACTTGCCAAGCAAACTTTCAAACACCGCATGCTGAGCCGCACCAGTTCTTGCTCTTGTTGGCTTTGAATTCCAATGAGCTTTCTGCCTAGAACCTAGTCACTGATTTAAGTATGCATTTCCCAGTTCATGACATGTAATCTCTCTTGTTCCAAATATAACAGGTGCCCAAAGCATTACAGACAATGTATTTCAGAGATGAGATTTCAATGACATTTTAAGAAAAATTCAGTTACATAGAAATAATTCTGCAGATATAAAATGTAAACAGTTAACATACACTTGTCAGGAGCAGCACCATTCTTTCACTCCTCAACATCCACATTGTGTGTTTTATTGAAAATCAGATATATAAAAAAATGAAAGACTCAGACTAAATAATCACCATTTATGCCTGCTCTGCTCAGTGTGAAGAAACAGTCCTTGGAAAATGATATCTTATATATGGCTGTGTGCTACTATTTTCTGATGAACGGTATATTGCTCATTTGATACATTACCTACAAATATTTAAGTAGGCTTTGGAACCCCCAACAGCTTGTATAAACATGATTATGCTACAGGTAGAATCAAATGGCCAGAAACACCAAAACTGGTGCTCAACTGACTGACACTCTAATAAGAAACCAGAAAGGTCCAAGGTCTGAGGCTGCAGGAAAGAGAAAGACCAGTCCATCACTGGGACCTACAGCCTGAGTGGATTAACTCAGTGTATACAAAAACAGGCTCATAGCTAGTAGAAGTGAACCATCTGCTTATTTGCATTGAAATGTATTATTCATGAAGTATCCTCTTGACTTTATGTGATCATAAGCATGGAGCATGCCACAGATTTGCAGAAAACACCATCTTCTTTTTACTTTACATTTATTGGGTGGTGTTGAAGGAATAGAAGGCTGGTGGTAGATGCCCAGCATCTTCAAAGACATGCTCTGAGTAAATCTGTCATTTAGATGACGGGGCTTTTGCCAAAATTCTTGCAGAGATTACACACCAATTGTTGTAACTACATTAGGTTTGGCAAGTAGCAAATCTGGAGGTTCTTTTTTTTAAATATGTTCATCATTTACAGTAGTTATTCCTGAATATTAAGTGGCTACAGGTTATTTCCTCTCACTCTTCTGTGATTATTTCATTGATAAGCACATAACCCTGAAGGATAGCATCATGAACAAAACATTAGAAATAATTTCTAATTTAAAAAAAAACTATAAAAATCTTAAATAATTCATGATATAGGCAAGTCACCACATAATAGTTGCTTTGATAAACAAAATCTTACAAATTCAGTAAAAAAATCAGCAGCATAAGATAAAGCAAATATGCAAAAATTTTAAACCATGATAAAATAATTAGGTTTACATTATACAGTTAATTACAGCAAAAATACAATACATTTTGTTGCTGTTTTAAAACACAAATTTTAAATTACATCACTTGAAATTAAAAAAAATAAACTACTTTACTACAAAATGAATTCTACATTTTTGAAAAATCACTCAAAGTAAGACCACTGACTGACTTAGTTTTCAAAGTAGTTCTATCAATGACTAAATGACTCCCCACCCCTGCCCCCCCCACCCCCCAAGGCCCGAGTAGTCATCTACAGCAGCCCAGAGGTCCCGCTGAGGCTTCTAGACTGCTGTCTGTATCCGAGGCCAAAGTTGGATCTGTTGACATTGAAGACACATCATTGACAGAAGACGATGACGATGGATGCTGAGAGCCATTGATCACTGCTGCACCTGTGCTATGAGAAACAAAACAGCAAATCAGTTGCAGACAGAGTTGCAGACCCAGCTACTTATATTGTACTGGCTACATCCAGTGGTCAGTAACTTTTTTCTTGGCTTTAAAAGGCTCACTAAAAATAATCACACATGATATTCAATACAACACTAATTTAACAAGCTCTTTTCATTGCAATTTATGAGTTGAGAACTCGGAAAATGCCTGGGAACCCAGAGTGCTGTCCTTTCCATAAATTTGTTTTTCAATTCAAGACAAGAATCATGAAGTCCAAGCCCCATTTAGAAATGGTCCTACAGCAAGATTCATACATGGGCTTCAGGCTGTGTGTGAACAATACTGACAAAACATGCAAAACTGTCTGTGTTGTATTTTACTGGAAACAGGGTCTTAAAGCTATGTATGATTCAAAAATGTAAAAAGTACTGCCCTAATAAAAAGTGATTTATGATACCTTCTCACTGTAAAAGTCCAAACAATACTTGTGGCACACCTTGTTTCAAAGCAGAAGCCAATACAAAGACTGAAATTGTTTCATCTGAAAGGGTCTTTAACTCAACTGCCCCAATTTATACAAGTTACATGACTTGTCTTGATCAATCAAGTGTCCTAGTTAGGTAAACTCTGGTCTTTTAATTTCTATTTTAATAAATACTTGATAAGTGAAAATACGGATTTATTAAACAGGCAAAGTTCAGGAAGACTGTTTCCTTTACCAAAAATACAGCCTAACAAGAATTTCTTGAATTAAAAACAAAACAACAATAGGAGTACAGACATGTCTCTTTTTATTGCATGTCACGTAACTGCACTTCATGGGCACTGCATTTTAAAAAATATTTTATTTGTTTTTAGACAGAGGGGAAGGGAGGGAGAAAAAGAGGGAGAGAAACATCAATGTGTGGTTGCCTCTCGCACGCCCCATACTGCGGACCTGGCCCGCAACCCAGGCACGTGCCCCTGACTGGGAATCGAACTGGGGCCCCTTTGGTTCGCAGGCCAGTGCTCAATCCACTGAGCCGCACCAGCCATGGCACTTCCTTTAAAAAAAAAAAAAAAAAAAAAAAAATCTGAAGGCAACACTCTCCACTGGCAAAACAATTAACAACTTGCCTTATTATGATGCTCTCTTTGTTCCAGTGGTCTGGAATCAAACCAGCAATATCTCTGAGGTATGCCTGTATTTAACTGATAATCTCTCAAGGTCAGGAATGGGGAGGAAAGGATACTGGCGGATTGGGAATGTGTTAAAAAAGGTGATTAATACACTAGGTAAGAACTTATGAACTTCATGATCACTAAATAAGGGTTATTCCAAATTTGGGTATTACAAATAATGCAAGTTATACAAAAGTTCTTAAGAACACATTTGCAATAGTTTACAAATGAGTAATAAGAAAATTTCTAGGGGTGCATTTCAGGCACCCAACAATGGTAAAAACTAAGCAGGTTGAAAACCACTGTTCCAAAACCCAGAATCTCAATGTTTGAAATTATCTCTCCATTCTAATGATAAGTAATAAAAACTTAAATATGAAAGGTCCTCTAAGAGCTTGTCTTCAAATGCAACAAGGAAACAGAAAAGTAGGAACAGGCAAATCTTTAGAATGGTGGGGGCGGGTGGGGGGGTGGACTGGAGACAAAAAGAATACACAAATACAATGGCGAGCTTCAAAGACCTGTACTGAAATATTCAATTCATAAAAGGGTTCCACTATATATACTTTTCCATGCTTCTATTTTTGAATCCAAATTCCCTAATTTGATAACGTTTCATTTTGAAAAATCAAGTAGAAATGGTATTGTGATTATCTGGTATTTTGACATCAAAGACTGTTCCTTCTATCTTTGTATACATCTGAGAATAGAATATTTTTGTAACAGCTTTACTAACATTCTTTGTAAACTATGAGAATTCAGAGCATGTCCAGAAACCTGAAGTCCTGTCTGTTGACTTATCTTGTAACCACAGTCAAGCACTGTCTAGGATCCAAATTTTTCATTTATAAATTAAGAACAAATTGCTCTTACCTCATGAGATTAAGTTTACTCAAACATTTGACACTTAGGATGTGCCACTCAGTAGGACAGTATGCTACAGTGTAAAACTCTCTCAAATAATGGACTTTTGAAATCCCACTTGAACATTCAGTTATACTATCACTGTTTATCAATACAAAGCTAATTAACTGCTATTAAAGTATTTATGATATGGCTTTGTTACAACTAAATTCTAAGTAAAAGCCATCAAAACCAATTTATATTTTCAACAGGATCTATATTATAATTTGGGAAATTGCATTTCTGATCAAGGATATCAAAAAATTTTAAAAACTTTAAAATATATAACCAAAAATGTCACAGGAAGCTACAAAAATTATTTAAATAAATATGCTTCCAGTACAATAAAATGTGCATCTGAAACTAGAAATTTTTACCCATTAAAAAGATAAAATATCCTTTTCTTAAAATTTATAAAAGTTTCTGAGGGTTAAGTAAAATGGCAGTTTTACTCAAATTCAAGACGTATCTGTTGAAACACGACTTAGCCTTCAAAGCTCAGCTTAACTTTCAGCATTTCCATGCAATAGTCCCAACCTCTGTAGCCGAGAAAGGAGTCTGTTCCCACTCAGCCACATATGGGATGCTGGGAAACCCACACCCTCCAAAATTATTGATAAACATGTCTTTAAGCATTAGCTTTTCTACATAATATATTTGTAACCTTATGTCATTTAATTTTTCTGAATTTTAGCTCCCTCATGTGTAAAGTGAGCATAATGATCCCTCCCTTTCGGATCTTGAAGGTGAAATGAAATAAAGTATATAAACCACCAGTGTTTGTTATGTAGGTATGTACTTAATATGTAAATACCACCTGCTATTTAACTATTCCCCTCAATTGTTTATGCTTTTATAAGTACTAAAATTAAATATGAGCTTATGATAAAAAGAAAATGTTTAATTCCTGCAAACCAGTTTCTTCTTAGAGTCAGACCACTTGCTAATGGTAGTTTTAATATTACTGCCTTAGTTCAACAAATCAAAAATACCGAAGGGAGAAAGAGAATAACTTGGTATCACATGTACCAAATTTTTCAATGAAGCCTTAGCTTATTTGTACAAAGACTGATAAAACCATAGAAACGTAAGTATACTGAACTATGAGAAATTTCTTCTTTAAAGCCAAGACGATAATGTAAACAAAAAAAAATTTCTGTTCTTCAATGGAATGTGAGCACCACAGAAAAGATGTGCATTTGATGAAGTCTGTTATTAGAGTATGAATAGAGTGCACTGGTACAACAGTATATAAATGCTTTCCAATTTAACCACCCAAATTGTACTCCTTCCTTATACTTACTGAACTTTGTATAATAATGGTAGTGAATATGGAAAGAACCGCAGGTTTCAGGCCACTGAAGATTATAACACAAGGAGTAAACTGTAATCTTAACCAAGCTTATATTGTAACCAACCTAAAGGAGAGGGCTGCCCCCGTATAACTCCATTCTTGGTTCTCTCCTCCAAGTCCATAACTTCCTTGTATATTAATTCTGAAAAAGAGGTGAACAAAAACAAGCTTTTAAAAGTCTGAGAGCCAATCTCACAAGATATGAATGTTTTTAGTGAACATTTTTTACACACATTAAGTATTTCCCATCGTATCCCCCAATGGTAGAAGGCCCATAAGTGTCAGCTTAAGATTCAAAGATGTTAAAAACGATTCCATGATCCTCAGCCACGAATTATGTTGAATGAAACAAAATCTCTGCCTTAACTCCTATTCTTAAAGTTGGATTAAGGATACAACTGTGCTTAGAACCTTGATCTTTTTAATTCCAGCAGCACTTTGTACTACACCGTATTATACCATATACCATTCTGTTCTACAAATGCTTCTTTAATTCTGTCTCGGTGAGTGCTCGAATCACATTTGTCTTATTAACTTTTATTTCCTGATTTGACCTGGTACATTATAGGTGCTTACCCAGATATCTGTTAAAAGATTTAAATGAAAGAGCGTGTACAAGCCTCTTTAACAGAATGGCATGTAAGTACGTTGTTATTAAAGGAAAAACAGCAGATAGTTACACTTTAAATCTTTATAAGGTGAAATATGACATGAAGTCACTGTCAAGATTTCTTTGTGGGAATCCTGTTTTTTTACTGGGTTGTGGACAGTGAGTGGACTGTAGTGAGTACTGTCCCCCTATAGTCATACCAGATGTTGCCCTGCTGGAGTATCTCTTGCCCTGTATTTTCTAAGTGATCCTGATGTCAAGTGTGATGAGCCTTGCGACTCTGAATATCTACTTGAGAAGAACCTTCTGGTGGATGCTACAAAGCCATTATTTATCATCTTTTTGGGGTCATGAAATAATTTAAGAATAGCATGAAAGTGACTTCTGGCCAAAATGGAAACAAAGGAAGATATATTTTGCCTCCCTGCATAACCAAAAGGACAATAACAAATTTAAAAACAAAAAATAACCAGAACTGCCAGAAAATCAAACTGTATGGCAGCCCGACAACCAAGGAGCTAAAGAAGATATATACATCCAGACCGGTAGGAGGGGCGGAGGGGCGGAGAGGACGCGTGGCAAGGCAGCAGCTGGAGGACTAGAAGGGCAAGGTGGCAGCAGGTGGACTGGGTGGTCCCACGTTTGTGTGTGGATAAACCGCGAGGAACAGCTGGAGCGATACAGACCACACAATCCAGGGTTCCAGTGAGGGAAAAGAAAGCCTCAAAACTTCTGGAGGTAAAAACCTGTGTGGGCTGTGATGGCAGGACAAACTCCCACCTCCCAGGAGAGTCCGTTGGAGAGACCCACGGGGTCCTAGAATGTACACAAACCCACCCACCCGGGAATTGGCACCAGAAGGGCCCAATTTGCTTGTAGTTAGCAGTGTAAGTGACTAAAAGCCAGCTGAGGGCCAAGCAAACCACACTGTTCCCTCTCGGACCCCTCCCCTACACACAGCATCACAAAGCAAGAACCTGGGCTGGCTCACCCTGATGAATACCTAAGGCTCTGCCCCCGCAACATAACAGGCCAGGCACGCTGAGACAAAGAAATATGGCCCAAATGAAAGAACAGATCAAAGCTCCAAAAATAGAACTAAGTGACGAACAGAAAGCCAACCTATCAGATGCAGGGTTTGATACACTGGTAATCAGGATGCTCACTAAATTGGTTGAGTATGGATGCAAAATAAAGGAAAAACTGAAGGCTATGCAAAATGAAATAGAGAAAAATATACAGGGAACCAACAGTAAAGGGACAGAAACTGGGACTCAAATCAACAAGTGGGAGCAGAAGGAAGAGATAGACATTCAACCAGAACTGAATGAAGAAACAAGAATTCAAAAAAATGAGGAGAGGCTTAGGAACCTCTGGGACAAATTTAAATGTTCCAACATCTGAATCATAGGGGTGCCCGAAGAGGAAGAAGAGCAAGAAATTGAAAACTTATTGAAAAAAAGAATGAAAGAGAATTTCTCTAATCTGGCCTGGAAATAGACTTCCAGGAGATCCAGGAAGCTCAGAGAGTCCCAAACAAGTGGGGCCCAAGGAGGCACACACACCAAAGCACATGATAATTCCATTACCCAAGATTAAAGATAAGGAGATAATCTTAAAAGCAGCAAGAGAAAAGGAGACAGCTACCTACAACAGAGTTCCCATAAGACTATCAGCTCATTTCTCAAAAGAAATCTTGAAGGCAAAAAGGGGTTGGCAAGCAGTATTCAAAATCATGAAAGACAAGGGCCTACATCCAAGATCACTCTATCCAGCAAAGCTATCATTTAGAATGGAAGGGCAGATAAAGTGCTTCCCAGATAAGGTAAAGTTAAAGGAGTTCATCATTACCAAGCCCTTGTATTGTAAGATATGTTAAAGGGACTTATCTAAGAAAAAGAAGATCAAAAACTATGAATAGCAAAATGACAACAAACTCACAACTATCAACAACTGAACCTAAAAAAATAAAAACAAAAACAAACTAAGCAAACAACTAGAATAGGAACAGAATCATAGAAATGGAGATCAGAGGAGAGGGGGAGGAAGAAGAATAGGGCAAAAGGTACAGGGAATAAGCAGCATAAATAGTAGGTACAAAATAGGCGGGGGAGGGGGGTTAATAATAATATAGGAAATGGAGATGCCACAGAACTTACATGTATGACCCATGGATATGAACTAAGGCGGGGGAATACTGGTGGAAGGGGCAGTGCAAAGTAGAGGGGAGTAAAGCAGAGGAAAAAATGGGACAACTGTAATAGCATATTCAATAAAACATATATAAAAAATAAACATAAAATTACAATGTAAAAAAAATAAATGCAACCTGAAGAGAAAAAAATACAAAGAGAAACAAAAGAATTGCATGAAAGCAATGAACCCTCTTCTGAGGAAAATGTACAAGCAAAAATTGTTATATAGAATTTTAAGGAGTCTGTAATTCTTTAAATTAAACTTCTGATAAAGAATCTGTGATTACAAATTCTTTAACAATGTTTATGTTAGTAAATAAGTAAAGCAAGTAGATATGCTGGAAAGAATGAGTGCTACAGAATCCCATATTTGTTCGCTATGGTAACATTCATGGACTTGGAAGGAGAAAAATAGGAAGTCTTGATAGATGAAAGAATGGTAGATGCTTTTCTTCAAAGAAACAAAAAGGAATGATAAGCATTCCAGATAGGAGGATCTTTTATAAAATGAGAAAATAGCACCCCTTTCTGAAAATGAATTAAGGTAAAAGATCCAAAGTTAATTAGCAGTACTAACTAAGCAAAGCAATTTGTACTTAATGGCTTTAGCAATGAATTTTTCTTTGTGTTGTGATGTTAAAACTTTTAAGCAGATCTCGAAAAAGGTAGTTTGTAGGTAATTACTGGATGGTACTTGAGGCTAGGAGAAAAAGATACAGAATAAAAGTAAACACGTTCAGAGTACTAAGAAACCCCAGGTATATCCTATACAACAAAAACACTATGTTTCACTGATTTTAAGATGCACTTTCCCCCACAGTTCAGCATCTCTGAAACTGGATTGTGTTTTATAACCAATGGTGCAGCACGACTTGCAGTGTTTTCTCTTAGTGGTATATTACAGTGTGTTTTAGAATTGGTGGCCTATTAAGATTCTATGAGATACCATAAATGTCTACTATGAATGTAATGACATATAAAGTATCAGGTTAGATATTTTAAATACATACGCTGGTCCAGTTATATCCTTGTATATTACTTACTACATGACAAATGAACTCAGTGCCACCCGATTCTATCATTCTGGTGAGTCTACAGGGTCTAACTATATGTCTCCCCAAGTCAACTCAAAGAAAACTAATCCCTGATTATTCCTAAGAAAAAAGAATCAAATTCATTCCTTCCAAATACATTTATAGATAGATTACCTGTTCAGTTTTATACCTCTCCAGTCCCTTTTGCCTTCCCATTATTTAGGTACTTAGTTCTTAATAACAAGTCTTTCTGTACCCAGTTTTAAGTTCAGATAAAACAGGGGGTCAGGTGACTCGCCCAAAGTCATGTAGCTACATAAGTGGTCCAAACGCTGAATGACAACAACACAGATGAGGTTCATAGGATCTAAAAATTACTTGGCCTAAATGTTCCAGGGAATCTTTTAAAGAAAGAAATATTTTAACACTTCTGTGACTACCAAAGCATTATTAATGTCCAACCACATTCATAAAATAAAACTACTATATTAGATTTGCAAAGATTAAAAACTCAACTCACTCTGTGGGTGAGGGTTGGGGTGAAATAGACATTCCTGTACAGTGCTGATGGAAACATAAACTGCTACAATTTCTTTGGGGGGTAATCTGGAAATAACTGAAAAATATCCTTTGGCCAAGCAAATCTTGTAGGATTTTTTTTATAGGCATGTTCTCATATGTGCACAGGAACACTGTAATTGTTTGTAATAACAACAGACTGGACACAACTTAAATACTCTTCAAGGGGGAACTGTACATAAAAATTATGACACAGTTGTCAAACAGTACAGCACCTGCAAATGAGCCAGAGATGTGGAGCCTAAGAGGATAACATCTATAATATGTGATTACATCAACAAAGCAAGCGCACATAGCACTCAACCATTTGCAATTGAAGCAGGGTGGGAGAAGAGAACAGGGAGACAGCAAATACACTTGTGTATTTGTAGACTATGGAAGAACAAAAAATTCCCCCAAAAAGTAACATTTCTGTGTTTGGGGTGAGGAACATGAGAGGTTAGGATTAAGTTGGGGGAAAGGAGACCTACTTTCTATTTTTGAAAAATAAATTACTAATTATATTATCAAATATGAGTTATGAATAATACAAAGTATCTTCAGTTTCCCCAACAAGATGAGTAAGTCAACATAAAAAGCCAGAAGCTCTCTCAGCATCATCTCTAAGAATCTGGTGACTATTACCTTTCCACTCTTCTATTGTGTGTTCCCTTTCATCTAACTGCTTGTCAGGTATCTTTGGTGGTGGCTGAAAAACAAAAGGCCACAATAATTGAGTCAGTTTACTGGGAATATGTAACAACTTCATAATTATTTGAAATATCAGTCAGACAGAAAGCATTTGTAAAAATACATTATTAGACCAAAATTGATCAATCATCTTTGTATGTACAGAGACTAGTTATGGAAGACTCTTTCATGACAGGAAGAAGATGTTTAACAATCTTTTTCCTTTCTCCCAGCTTTTGAAATGGTCACATTTTATTTATTATCATAGAACTAGGCTATGCTTTGGCTATAGTAATTTGTTTTATAACTAAGTTAGGATGTTTTTCCCAGAGCATTCAATGTTCTAGCTCATCAGATTACATATCATAGCTGCTCAGATCATGTTTCATAGCAAGAAGGCAAGAAACTGAGAGAGATAACTTTATTTTGTGTAGGAAGTGCTTGGATATGCTCATTAAAATAAGGTTCTTTTAATGTAATAACAGAAGAACATCATCATCATTTACCTGTATTTTTATTTAAAATTACAGTGTCTACTCTAAACCAAATTTTAACTCTAACTATAAGAGGCAGTATATTCTTCAAACATTAAGAACTTAAAGAGCCCTGACTGGGTAGCTCAGTTGGCTAGAGCATTGGTCTTGATATACCAAGGCTGCAGGTTCAATTCCCAGTCAGGGCACAAGCAAGAATCAACCAAAGAATGCATAAATGAGTGAAACAACAAATCGTCGCCTCTCTTTCTCTCTCAAACCAATAAAAAAAAAGAACTTACAGCTTCTGCTTCAGAAGGATCATACCAGACATTGATGTACGGGTGCTGAAGAGCTTCATCTACAGAGATCCTTTTAGATGCATCAATGACCAGCATTTTGGATAACAAATCCCTTGCCTGACTGGCTGCAAAAATAATGGTGTTAATGTATATGTATCTCATTAAGGTTTTTCAATTAGCAGTACATTTCAGAAACTTGAAATTATCATTCATCTAAAAGTATATTTAAAAAAATAGATTTTACTATAAAACCAGGACATACAGGTGCTGAAAAATTATAAAGTTACAGAAAAAAATAACTAAAATCTTACTTGGTTCCACCACCCAGAAATAACCTTGTTCCATAATAACATGAAAACATACACATAATAGGATTAAAGGTATATATTTATAAAAAGTACCTTTAAGTTTGTTGTGTTCTGAATCGGCAGGGAAAAGTACATCGGGGAAGAGTTTCTCAAAGCTATATCCAGCATATTTAGGTCTGTTTTCAACATAAGTCCTTACTGTTGGTTGTAGTTTCTTCATGAATTCAGGACATGGTGTTCCAAGCTGTTCAATAACTTTATTCCATTGATCAATATCTAATATCAAGTAGCTAAGAAAAATACTCGGTATCTAATGTTCAACACATTAGTCACAGTCATTAAAATAACAAGAAAATAACAATTATAAAATCCTAGTAAAGAATGTGGCAGTTATAAATCTTGTATCTTATAGCCGCCTTGCAAAAAGGTGGACAGAAAGATCAATAAACAAGCTTTGTTAACCTTAGAGAAAGTGCGTATGTGTGTGTATATGTCTAATATTGATTTTATCATAAAAATGAAAGCTTAAAGCAACAAATTCCAAATACAAATGAGAAGTGACTCAAAGGATAATGATAATTACTACCCACAGGGACTCTTAAATGTAAAACGTACACAACTCTAGGATACACAATTTGCCTTCTGGCTTATCAGAAAATATGAATGCATATCCTATGGACTAAGAAATACTTATTATAACCTGTCCTTTTAAAAAATTTTCTATTCTAACAAAAAATAATAAAAATTATGGCTTTGATAAAAGTGGCATTTTCTTTTGCCAGTCTTTGTTTAGCTTATGTTAATAAAAATCTCCTTAAACCTCTGAAACTTACAAAAATGAATCAGTACTTTAGTAAATTCTAAGGTTAGGATTCCCTAGTCTCCTTCCTCCTACATTTTTATACTGCAAGTCCTCCCTATAGGCTAAGAACTAAAACTTTCTTCTTGTAACCTAGTGCATATGGCTTTTTCCATTCCTCCTGTTACTAGCTGATAAACACATAATAGATCACTCACTGGTAATAGAAATATTAAAAGTAGTCAGGTGAACAAAAAGCATGAATACAAGTCTACTGTATTTTGCTGTGTGTAATGTACACCCGTGTGTTTGTGCACATTATACATGGGATTATTATACCCATGGTACGTAATCATTATACCCATGTATAATGCGCATCCTTATTTTTCCCTAAAAAATTTGGGCAAGAGTGCTCATTGTACATGGCAAAATACACCATATTAAAACTATCACTGCTGAAATTCTCAGATGAAAAATCAGTATGTTATGTTGAGAAATGAGACAACAACCCAAAGACACAAAATACATAAAACATTAACAAAAAAGAAGGTCAGGACAGGGGATAAAACAAAAGGGTGACCAGAAGCAACAGACAATTCCAAAATTCATATTAAAGTCCTAAGTACTTCTAGACTTACTCAAGTATATAGGTATCAGAAATTTTTAATGCAAGCTATGATTTTTATTTAGGTTAAATAAATTAACTCAAAGCCAGCAACTAATTGTGGATAATTAATTTGAGCAGTTCTCAGAAATAACGTATGATACAATAAAGTGAGGGAAAGGAAAGTCTATGTCAAATAGCAGGTGGTATTTTGAAAGAGTAGAGTAATTTCACAATATTATTAGGGAGAGACAAAATACATTATACTTGACCTAGCTGAAGTGCTGTCACACATTTTGACCTTTAGAGACTACATTTTAGGCCAAAGATAAGGATACGATCTGTACCTGGGAACAAAACACCACCTTTGATCATTTCTCCCATGATGCACCCAACTGACCAAATGTCAACTGAAAACAAAATGCAATGACATTAACATAAAGATTTTGGTTGAAATAAAAAAAAATTAAAAAAAATCACGCACACCATGTATACTGTAAAATTATAGAAAGCAGTATAAAATAAAAATGAGTGACAGTGAATGTGCTCTAACTACCAGCAGAGACTGTATGTCCTACTGCCAGATGCAGCCTACAAAATATTTCAGCTTATCTCAACAATTTTTGAACTATAATAGCCATAAACTTTGTCTGTTTAAAAAACCCCACATATATGAATGTACCATATTCCTTCTCATTAGGAGATCATTAAGGAAGTTCATCACCTAACTAATTAAACTGCTGCAGCAGCACAAGGATACAGTCCCTTCCTGGAAAGAGGATTTTGTGGCAAACCATTTCTCCCATAATGCACCCCACAGACCATAAATCCACTATATGTTTGCAGCACAAAAGAAGGAAAAGCAAAGCAAAAGTTCATTAAAATCAAAGAAGCATAACATGACTGCATTATATAAAAACTACAAAACATCACAAAAAGAAAAAAGTGATTTTAATTTTAGCTAATGGAATACTTCAAAACACAAAATATTTTTCAAAAGGCTTTGGTTCACAAAAGCAAATGTGGAGTGTGGCCTTTTAACTACATATCTAATTTTAAAGTGAGAGCTATGCACAGAAATCACATGATTAAAAATCCTATGCATATTTTCAATGAAAATTTGTTTATAAAATACGAAATAGAACCAAACATAAACTTTGTAAATCAGGTTGAAAAGTACGAGTTAGCAAAACTTGAAAAATAAAATCTTGACACTATATTGAGGTTCAGCTATGCATATGCTCTCTCTTTAAGCCAAATAAAAGAAAAAGCATGAGCAGAAATAATCTAGTATGCTAAATATTAACAGAAAACATGTATTTCTATGGATAATTACAGTTAAAAAATTAATCTAAAGCTCTTTAGAAATTTTCAAACTGGATTTCATAAATTTATTTGAGTAGTGCTATGTTTATTCTGAATTGAAAGTCATTTGTTTTCTTGGCAATATCATGCTACATTTACCCTACTATCTCAACAGGAACAAGCGCAGAGAGAAAGAACAAGTGATAAATTAAGAAACCTTAATTTAAAAAAGTATATATCATGTTTTCCATCTAAAGTTTTTAAACCTATAAAACTAAACTGCTTTTGATTTAAGATGTTAGTTTTAGCTGAAGATTGTATGAAAGTTCCCACTTTAATGGGAACTCTATCTAATCAATGCAGAAAAGAATCTGCTAGACACAGATGTGAGCATTTGACGATTTCCACCTGCTTCATTAAAACCAGAAACACACCCTGACGTTTTATATCTTTAGGTTTGAAAATCAGATAAAAAGAGAGTAGGTGATTGTAGTTTCATAGGAGAAAAGGGCAATGAATGATCAATTTAAAAGGAAAGCCTTAGAAACTTGCATTGTTTTTGAAGTTTGAAGGTCCAAATTCTTTACGGGCGAAAGAGGAAAATGGCAAAAATTGATGTTAGAGAGAGATACACCCTTTAGCCATGTGGGGGGACTTAGGAAATTAAAGTGTACTTTCTAATATATTCAAATAAGGAGACTGCTAATTCATCATAGAATCTTAGGTGCTAAATTGGAAATAAATTTTGGAAATCCTTTGAAACTAAAGTTTCTCTAAAATTTCATATTGATTTACACACAAATGGTGTTAAACTTATAGTGTGATTCAACTTTCAAAAATAAAATTTTAGAAGACAGTTAATATTCATAAATCAGCTTAGAGAAAAATTTTTTCCGGGGGTTTCATTTTTGATAAAAATCTATTACAATAACTTTCCCTATAGATTTTATAGAGAATGGCAAACTTTAAATATCCAGGACATGACTTATGTAAAGCACTTTAAAAAACATTTCAGCATAATTTTAAACAGATTTCAAAAGCTGCAAGCATGGGAGAAGTTACTGTTCTGGGTCAGTGGAGACTTTCTCAGAACATGATAAGCCTGGTTTCACACATAAAACTAGCTTAGCTTATTAGACAGTTTAGATATATTCCATTATATCATACTTTCCAAAAAGCTGTGAGATAGCATGCAATAAAAGACAAAATGGGACCGGGAGTGTCACTAAACGAAGGAGGTTCTTATGTTTAACCTCAAAGGGTAATGTAGTTACCGAAATTAAGCACTACATTTGACTCAGTTCCCTGAGACAAAAAGAAAAGGTAATAGAGTGATCTGCATTCTTATGTAGGGCAGAAAAGCATGTCAATTCATTTTATGACCTTTTTTTCTTGGTGCTTATTTCTGGCAGGGAGGTCTCTCCCCAAATCAAATTTGCTGAACACTGAGTGACACATTAGACAGCATCTGAGATGATGGTTTTACAGCAAATGCAAAAGCAACCTTCACGTTGGTCACTTGTATCAATTCTCAAAAAACAAAACAGAAAAACCCAGAAAACAATAAAACCCCAATGAGTCTAATACTAAATCCAACTCACTAGATTCTACAGGGTATAAGACAATTTAGCAAGACAGTAAGAAAACAAAACATGTTTGTTTAAGGACAAAAGAATAAAAGTAGATGTTTAAAGTATTTGTTTTTAATTAGCTCAGAAAAGAAAAAGAAATTAAGCTAAAGTCCTCAGTTCAATGTTATCTTTTATAAAAACGAGTCAAGAGGATTAACTTAATACAGTTTCTTAACTCAAAGCGAACTGCTGCTCCATATTCCTTGCTTGCTCCATATTCCTTGCTAGAAAAAAACATCTAGGTCCTATTCGAGGGAGTGTTTTGGATGAAGTTACCACATTTAAAAAGTTATAATTTAAGTCAATAAAGTCCTGTGCAGACTTATTCACTTCCTGAGTCAACAAAATTTCTTCTTAAATAATGTATACACTTTTTTAAACTCATGAACTATATGCCTGATAGTTTTCTTCAACCTTGATTCTAACGCTGATATATGTAATTGAATATACCCACACAAAATAATGCCCATTTTTTAAGGCTGGACACAGGACTTTGATGAAACAGTTTCCCACAAAAGGTTACCTTAATTACCCATCAGCTTCGCAGAATGGCTTTATCCTAGCTCTTAAAAGTTTATACGAAGTGCTGTTGCTATTAACTTTAGTTTCAGGGGGTTGGAAATAGGAGCAGATGTTACTAACTGCAAACTAGGATTGCTATAAAAGATAAACTGTCAGTCCACTATATACTTCACTAAGTCCATGTCAGAAATACTCATTTTCAAATTAGAGAAAAGCAAATTTTAGGGGCCATGGCAACAAATTCTTTATCCAATGGTATTACTGATAGTTTTTAAATAGGAGCCCTAAGTTTGTTTAAGCATTTATCACAAAATTTATAGTTATTTTCACACTCTTGATAAAATACTTCAAACAGTGACATATTTAATTATGTGCTTCAGCTTAAATATTTACATAAAAAAATCTGATAAAAACAGAACAGAATTTCAAGTAAATAGTGTTTGCTGACCGTTTTCTTTGTAGCCCATCCCTAGGATGACTTCAGGTGCTCTGTAGTAGCGAGTCACTACGTAAGGTGTCATCATAAAACTAGTTCCTGCAGTCCTGGCCAGTCCAAAGTCAAGAATCTTCAAAGTGCAGTCTGATTTTACTACTATATTACTTGGCTTTAAGTCCTTCAAAAAACAGAAATAAAATATGACTGCTATGATATACGCAAATATTTTGCAGTTCACAAGTTGTCAGATCACTGATATAACAATTCATGCTGTTTATTTCTCTCACCATAACTGATATCCACTGCAGATTCATCATAGTAGGCAAATATGAGGAATTAGCTTGACGACATTTTAATTTACAAACACATAGAGTTATTAGAGAAGTGAGTAATATTTGCTAAAAAGTATGATTAGCTAGTAATTTTCAATCAAGTGGAATAAAAGCGATTTGGAAAGGCATCTAAAAGCTCATGTAAGAGCTAATATGGTTTAAAAAAAAAAGAATCATAGGTTAACATTTATATTCACTTATATACTAAATTACCATCATTTAAAAAACTAATTTTAAAGACACAATGAGCTTCATATAGATATCATAAATCAACAGTGGGCCATTCTACACCAATCCAAGAAAATGTCATTTGACCTTTCAAGTTGGCAGATGTTCATTTCTGAAGGACTGAAATAGTTTTTAGCAATCTTTCCATCACTAATTTCCTACCCCAAGTCATACAAATTTGTTCATAAAATTTTTGTCTGCTTGTAGAAGTAGGACAACTGTCTTCGTGCCACTAATCTATAAAACTACTTGCTGTTAATGTTACTAAATAATGCTTTTGTGAAGAATTTTTCACCTGACCTCAACCTTAGGAAATTCTGTTCTGTAATCATTAAAAGGAAGGCAACAGCATAAACTCATAGCTCCAAGTTCAAGGTATTTTGCCTGCTAGCTCCCATGAAATCTATGATGAACCAACAGACCAAAGCAAGCAAGTGTATATCCACAACACAAATTCCATTACTGGTACTAACAGCCTGAAAGGCAATGATTACTTTTGTAATGTCTACATCCACAAAAAAATTGTATGTTGTCTTTAGCACATTTTCACAGGTAATCATGGATGGTTTTAGAAGATATAGAACTCAAAGGTTTCATCAAATTAAAAACAGATCAATAGCCTTAGTGAAACAAAAAATGAAAATTTTCATTATTGCTATTCTGTAAATACAATGTTGCCACTATTTCCAAAATACAGTATCTCAGCAAAGTAACAACACATGATCAAGAATAAAAATTATAAGGTTTGATACTTCTATGTCTACTGTGATGGTTAAAGATTAATAGCTTTTTATACTACTGCATATTCATCTAAAAATAAGAATCTAACATTAAACACTTTATTTTGGAAAATTAAGAGCAAAATACACTTAAAAAATACACATACTTAAAGAAAAAACTGTCCAAAAATGCCTCTAAGAGTGTTACATGAAATCTATCCTTGTATATCAATGTGTACCTTTCTACAGATGTTAGAGCCATTGCTAACTATGTAAGAATAACTGAATTAATATGAGTTGGTGGCACAGGCAGTGTAACTAACTTAACAATATTCTAATCTTCTCTCCCACAGAATTTCCAGCCTCCTCACAATTAAGTATGTAGGTAGGCAAACCTACATGGTATTAGCTCTAGTTAATTGGATGTGAGTGGGAGCATGGAATAGAAGGGCATCCTTTTGTCCCTTCCCCTGCTTTGGTGATTAGTAACATTCCAGATAGTGGACCCTCCATCAGTCTGGGTTGCTAAACATCTGTAGCAAAGCAGAGTCCTTACCCACCATGACCTGAACAGGATATATAATGTAGGAAATAAACCTTAGCTGTTAAGCCACTGAGAAGCCAGGGTCTGTTACTTAGGCATAGCCTAGTTGTGAAATTGTACTTTATAGTAAATATATATTTGGTCTTTGTCCCAATTATGGACACAGCTCCTAAAAACTCTTAAAATTTCTTAAGTGGTAAGAGCAATAAAGGTGAAAGGAGTGCTTTCTGTTACTTATAAAAAGCCCCTTATACTACTCGTTTATGTTGATGAGGAGACTTTTGGAAAGCCCAAAAGGAGAGGTGCTGGTTGCCAGGGAAACCAACACTGTGACTAGAGTTTAGAACTTCCAGCCCCAATCCCAGACCTGGCCAGAGATTAAGTTCAATAACCAATGTCCAATGATTTAATCAACATGCCTACAGAGGCAACGAAGACACCATAAAACCCCCAAAAGGACAGGATTCAGTGAGATTCTAGGTTGGTGATCCCAGAAATGTGAAGATTTGGGCAATGGCACATTCTCCCCTAAGTTTCTGAGCGAGCTATTCCATACTCAAAATAAATAAATAAATAAAATAATTAATTCCATAATTCTGTGGCTGCTTTAGCCTTAAAACAGTGATTCTTAATTCAGGGAAATTCGGCCCCAAGGCATATCTGGCACTGCTTAGAGACATTCTGGGTTGTCAAAATTGGGGAGTACTAATGGCATCTAGTGGGCAGAGGCCAGGAATGCTGCTAAACACTTCACAATGCACAGGACAGTCCCTCGAAAACATTTATTCATCCAAAATGTCAACAGTACCCAGGTTGAGAAGTATGGGACTTAAAGTGAGACTTGACCCTAATCTTTTACAGACAGAAAGCTGAGCAGCCCCAAAGAGAACATATTTTCTAATACCCACTTCAGACATATTCACGGAAGACAGTGGGGCCAGGTACCACAGAGAACAGTGTATGCACAAGGTGCTCCTTGCAGAGGTCCAACTCAGAGATTCAGGGCCTAATCAAGAAATATTCTTCACCCCAGGGGAAGAGACACTCACTATGTCTGACCAAGAGAATTTCAAATTACAAATAACAACTGATTTTTCAATTTCTCACATGGGATTGTTTTTTTTTTATAAAAACTAATAATTGTGCTAATAATCTATTTATTTATTTATTTATTTATTTTCACATGGGATTGTTTATTGTGGTTACCCTGGCCCTGTATGACCACCACATCTAGGGAATGGGGGTAGGGGATAGGTATGAAGATGGCTGGATAATTTTATCATTTTAGTTTTAATGATTCTGGATCAAAAGGAACAATATCTGGATTTGCTATAGATTTCCATGTATCACTTGGAGCTAAATGCCTTGATAGACTACGACTTTAAGTTATGTCACCTAAGGAGGGGGTAACTATGAAATACAGGGAGCAAAGGAATTTCGGATAACCAGAAGGGATAGACTGTGGTAGAGACTGATGCTCCCCACATTTCCCAGTTCCCTTACAAGGCAGATCCTTATGACTAGTTCTGACAATGGGCTTAAAGCAGAAGTGATGTGTAGTATCATGTCCAGGACAAAGCACAGAAGACCTTGTATACACCACCTGACTTTCTGTTCCCCTGACAGTGACCAGCAACTACCTAGATAGTGGAGCCTCACTCAGCTTGGGGTTGTGAGTGACTCTATGGAGCCCCATCCCCCACCCTTTCACTGAGCCCATAAAAGATGAAAGTTCAGCAATCTCAGAACACAGAGATAGTAGCTTAGGGAGAGGGGAATTTGAATGAGTAGTACAACAGAGAGATGAGTACCAATTATGGCCTCAAGACCGACCAGCTGCAGAAGTGGGTGCAGTAGTTTATCTCATTAAACTTCTTGTAAGTTACTCAAGGAAAGGAACAGACATCAAATAAAATCATGGAGGAACAGTTTCCAGAACTAACTCTACGAACAAAGTGGGAACAAATTACACCAGGGGTGGTCTATAATGGGTGCTCTGATTCTTGGTTCAGGGCTGAGGCACTCATTCTTCCAGCTGCTGGCAGTTTTGTTGCTGACAGTTTCCAGCAAGTCTCTCTCTGGGGCCTGCCTTCAGCCACAGAGTGCCACATTTTCCAGGTTACACTGCTCCTTAGGGCAAAGGTAGAGCTGAATTACCAGCTGAGGGTCTGGAGTGATAAATCCAATTCCATTTTCCACTCCGTGCGTTTTTCCTTCCTTTACTCCCTCACAGATCTTGGTCCTGAGGGGACACTGTTATACACTTCTTATATGTGTGTCTCTACCCTAGGGTTTGTTTCCTGGATAAAGGTATATTCTTTTTAAAAATTATGTTTTATTTATTTATTTTTAGAGAGACGGGAAGGGAGGGAGAAAGAGAGGAGAAAAACATTGATGTGCGAGAAAAACATCCATTGGCTGTCTCCCACACATGCCCAGTTTGGGACCTGGTCCACAATCCAGGCATGTGCCTTGACCAGGAATTGAACTGGCGACCTTTTGGCTTGCAGGCCAGTGCTCAATCCACTGAGCCACATCAGCCAGAGCTAAAGGCATATTCTTCATCATAGGTAACAGACCCCAGCAGGAATTTTATTGGTTCAAATTTTTATGTAAATATTTTGTAGCTGTACTGTATTTTTAACACTTTATGTTTCCACTGAAGGAGTTATGTTAGAATATCCCAATACTGTTTTTTGTGAAGTTATTCTATTTTTTTACAATACAGGATTTGTGTATTGCAGCTCTGCTCCATGTATCAAGTTTCTTGACAGTTATTTATCCAAATAAGAGTATTATACCCTTCATCCTTTTAAAGTGGCTCTTTTTCCCCACCATACTCAACTTCACCTGATTAAATAGTTATCTTTGTTTTCTTTTCTTTTTTTTAAATGGAATCTATTGGGGTGACACTGATCAATAAAACCATATAGGCTTCAAGCGTACAACTTCATAATACATCACCTGCATACTGCATCGTACACTCACCACCCAAAGTCAAGTCTCTTTCCATCACAATTTATTCCGTTTGCCCTCAGCTACCTCCTCCTTCCCTCTGGTAATTACCATACTGTTGCCTGTGTCTTTGTGTTTGGTTTTTTTTTTTTCATTCTTAATTCCTTCACCTTTTCCATCCAGTCCCCCAACACTCCTCCCCTCTGACAGCTGCCAGTCTCCTTTATCCTTCTTTCATGTTTCCATCCTCCTACTAGTCTTTGCTAACACCTTTGTTTTCAGCCTTTGGAAGTTAGCTATAAATGTTTTTGTTATACAAACATGTAGTTGTTGGTTCTGTGTGTGCATGTCATAATTTGACCTTTTTCATTAAGAGGGTTAATGTTACATATTGATCTTC